ATTCTAGAAGTTTTGTTACTTTTTATTTCTTTCCAAAACCTTCTCTTCAAAGCATTTAGTGTTCTTTTTATTTTGATCTATTACACTACATCTTTTGGTTATTAATTATGATAAATATGATGCTTGATATGTCAGATCTTACATGTGGGACATGAAAGTTTATTAAACAGTAGCTTTGGGTGCAAGGCTACTGTTTATATATGCCTGTCTTGTGTGTAAATAGTGCTTATGGCTCTGAGTGTACCATATTTGATAGTGTTCCTAAAAACTAATTACTTTCTTTCTGTTAAAATAGCTTTTGAGGTTACACTAGCTCATTTTGATTTCCTCAGCCACCTGGTAGATTTATTGTGTGATTGAAATGATATTTGGAAAACTTGTTCCTCTGTCCTCAGTACATGTAGACTGTGTGATGGTACAACTACCATATTGTACAGTTCATTTGACTTGAACATGGTGAGTATCATTTCTGATTTGTGCTTCTTTTGAGAACCTTTCTGAACCCTTCATCCTGTTGATATGAGGATCCTAAGTATGTCAACCCAGAGTTCCTGAAGTACATTCAAGTAATTGAAATCTTGATTTTAACTTTGTAATGAAAGGAAGTATTAAAAATTACCTCATACACCCTAATCTAGAACAGCATTCTTTGTTTCAAAATTATTGAAAAATTACAGTCTTCTGTTTAGTGGCTGTGGAGGTTCTGTATCTATTTAGACTGTCAGACACTGTTGTGATGCTGTTTATATGCATGAATGTTTGACACCAAAATAACATCCAAAACTAGAGACGTTCAGTTAATTTAAGTAAAAATTTAAACATTTCCTTACTATTTTCACTTCTGAAGATTAAGGGTTCCAGAAAGAATGAGTACAGTTGCCAAAAAAAAAAATTGACTATAATTTTTCGAGTTGACAGTTTCTGAGAAATAAAAGAATATGCTCTTCACCTATTGTGTTTCAGTTTTTTTAATCTTTTCCTAGGATGATGCTGATTTTGAGGAGTACATAAAACCTTACAAGAGTGAAAATGCAAAAATAATTAGAGAAAATAACCAACTTCATCAACAGCTTCTTGCAGAACAGGAAAAGAATGAGACCAATGTGAAAGGTAAATTTCTAAAACTTAACCTTTGCTAAATAAAACATTTTGTTTTTTCAACAGAAAGGAATGATGGTTTAATGCAACAGCTAGATGAGTGCTGCTGTTTATTTTCTTGTGTTATTTTATAAATTGAATCTTTTTCAATTGAAAACTACACTTCTTTCTTCATATTAGTGTTATGCTAGAAAATGTAATTTGAAAGAATTAACCCCTTAGAATAATTTATTTACATAGTTATTATTTATGTCTTTGAAAACATGAATCTTAAAATTCTGGAAGATCTAATTGCAAATGTCATATTTATTTATATGTATATTAACATGTGAGAGTAAGGATTTTATCTTCCATTCTGTTTATTTACCTCATAGGGACTTGCTTTTATGTTTCTATATATATATATATATATTTGTTTTCCATGTTACAAGCCTTTGTCAATTTATCATATTGATATTTTATTTCAGAAAGGTAAATCAAAGATCTTATTCTAATAAAAGTTTACACTTGTAGATGAACGTATGGTATATTTATAAATACAAACTTTGATTCTGTTGGTTGTAGGGACTGGTTAACTGATGGTATATATATATATATATACAAACTTTTATAAAATTATCAATAGCAATTTTACAAAATATAATTAAAAATGACTTATTAAAAATTTGTTTAATACAGTGTACACTTACATTAGAAACTATTTTAACTCGGAAACAAATGCATCTTCAAGAACTCGATTTGTTGTCTCTTTGGACAGTGAAGATGCATTTAAAATATCCATGTGGATTGATTGCTTTGATATAGTTGTGTTCCTGTACAGTTGTAACTTGAATTAAACTTAAGTTATTGTGTACCTAATAGTAATCTCACTAGTCACTGTTATACGTGTATTTTTCATATTTGTAATCAATGCCACGATTTAATGTTAATTTTCATCATCAGAAATTCAATAATTTTAACAGAGTTGTCTTGTGCAAATTTGTAAGGAGAAGCAATATTTATTAGATTTTAATCCTGTGAAAGGTTTTGTACTATGTTGCACATATGGTACAATTTCATGTATAGGATTGAAAAATAACTTAATTCTAAATTGTTGTACCTGAAGATGTGTATCAGTTTAAACAAAAGATAGTTCCAAAATATCTTAATAAAAGGGACTGAAAATAAAAGTATTAGTCTCATATGGATGTAGTTGATTAATGAGCCTGATGATTAATTGGCTAACAAGTTCCACTTATGGTCCAGCTCTAATGGTTGTGTACAGATACCAGCCCTTATAAAACTTTGCACAAAGTTCTGCAAAAAACACTTATCATATAATTGAACTTGTAACTGAAATGGATTATAATCACACTTGGATTAAGTTTCAGTATTTTTGTTTTGCTAGTTTCATTTATGTTTTAAACAGTTTTGCATGAATAAGAATTTTATTTTTTGTAATTAAGTATGATATTTCACATTAACTTTTAAGGCACATCACCATTGTTTAAAGCAGTATTGTGTTAAGTGAAAAGTATTAAATTGTATCTTAATGTTATATATTTGTAAATCTAATTTACTGTGTGGCATCTTTCACCATGACAATTTTCCAGTGCTACTTTTGTTTTTCCTTTCCTTATTCTCAGTACTTGTTGACCTCTCACGAAAGTGATGACACTCCTTTAGTTCAATACTTTGAGCTCTCATGATGGATATTGTAATTCATGTCACTTTTTTATTGAAGACAGTGATCTAACTGGTGGCATTCATTGCACTTCAGTTCCCACAACTGGGTTTATCTTAGCTGTGCATTCATTATGAATCACATATTAAAACTAAAGTAAAAATGATTTTTATTTATCAGAAACTATCTGGTCAAGCTTATATTTTCCAGAGGAGTCACCCACTTTTGTAAGTTTCATGAAGTCACTGGTTTAATGAGTATGTGTATTTACTTCTCTCAAACTATTTATCAAGATTCACTTTTTGTATACTTTTGTTATCTTTATGCAAATATTTTTGGTATCTGATACCACTTTCAAATTCATTTATTTCAGCTTTACTTATTTGTTTCAGGTTTAAAACGATCACTTCAAAAGTTGGAATGTGAAAATGCAGACTTGAGGTTTTTGAACACTCAGTATTTACAGAGAGTGAAATATTTAGAGGAAGAGTCACAAGGAAAGTCAGATAAGATCATGCAACTTCAAGAAAAAAACCTTCAAGCTGTTGTTCAGACCCCAGGTGTGTCTTTAGCTCACTAGATCTGATTAAGTCACTGACAGGCTTATTTCTTCTGCATTAAAACATTTTTTTGTAAGTTTACTTAAACTGAAGATGAACATTGAAATCACATTTCTTTTTTGAAGAAGCAGGTTACTGTTTGTTGCTTGCTCTTTTTATTTATGTGTGTGTTTATACATATATAAGATCTGCATTAGCTTACTGACTGTAAGTGCCTTAAAACAATTGTGTGTGTGAATTTCAAAAAGTTGTGGAACACATTTAAATGTAGTATATAACTTTCAGGTTAAGAGATTTTATTTAAGCCATTTCCTTTTAACTTAGCCATAAAAAGTTAATCAAAATTAATATTCTGGCTTTAACCATATTGATGTTTATTTATAACTATTGAACAGAAAAGTGATAAAATAAAAACTGTAAACTTAAATACTCAGTATACCAATTTCATGGGTATTAATTTTTCATAGAATTTAATTCTGTTAGAAAATTTCAAGTTTTCCACATATACATACACATTTTTGGTCAAAACGTGCTAAAATCATGTTATAAGTGTTGTAAAAACCATATAAAAGATATATGTAACTACTGTAAACTGGTGTGTTTCTGTAATAAGTGTTGTAAAAACCATATAAAAGATATATGTAACTACTGTAAACTGGTGTGTTTCTGTAATAAGTGTTGAAAAACCATATAATAGATATTTGTAACTACTGTAAACTGGTGTTAAGCACAACAGATTTATTAAATTCAGTAATGATTTAGACTGAAATAATGAAAATGTGATTGTTAGAGACAGATTCTAATGCAAATGAGAATGAACACTCAAAGAATAAATGGAGGTGAAAATGGCTAGGTAAAGTAAATGAGCTTGAGTTCTCATACATCCTCCAACACACTCGCTCAGTCCCAAGATTTTTAAATTGTTAACATCCATGCATTTAGTTTAGAGTAGATATTTACGTAGGGCACCATGTCTTTATGTTTAATGAATATACATGAAAGGATGCAAAGCAGCTTTTTAGCAAAGACTGAAATGAAAAAATAATTTTTCAAAATGCTAACTGGAATTTAAAAATTTGAAGAAACTTTGTTAATGAGACAAATAAGACCAAACAGACATGTAGCTAATCCAAAGAGAACTCGTCAGATAAACACAATAGTGAGCACACACACACTAAAAGAGGAAAAATTACAAATAATTGCCAAGCTTTCATACTTTTCAAGATCAAAGTTTTTAGCATAGTACAGCATCAATGTATGTGCATATAGGTGTTTTTAGTGTATAATCTAAACTCTAACAGTTACTTCCTTGCTATATAATAATAAATAAGTATTTTGATCCTTAAGTAAGGTTTTGACATTGTACATAAACCCAAAAATTATATTATTAAATACTTATTTATATTAACAAAAATAAAACTAAAGAATATCCCTTTATATTAAGAAGAACAAATTCAGTAAGCTACTTTCTACAATCATGTGAGCTTTGGGTGGATAATTACTCTGAATCTTCAGACTCAGACATACATGGCTGACTACAGAAGTTATAACAAATGGTAATAAGTAGATGATGTATAGAAAAAAAGGACCTATTTTTGTTTGGGGATTCACCCTCAACTGATTTGTCAGAGCTTTTGTTTGGGGATTCACTCTCAACTGATTTGTCAGATCTTTTGTTTGGGGATTCACTGTCAACTAATTTGTCAGAACTTTTGTTTGGGGATTCACTCTCAACTGATTTGTCAGATCTTTTGTTTGGGGATTCACTGTCAACTAATTTGTCAGAGCTTTTGTTTGGAGATTCACCCTCAACTGATTTGTCAGAGCTTTTGTTTGGGGATTCACCCTTAACTGATTTGTCAGAGCTTTCCTTTAGCACTGTTATGGTGCTTAAATGCCTTATGCAGTTTTATAGCTTATTTTGTCTTTTTTTACATAAAGTTGATTGAAATAAGACCTTTAAAGTAATAATTCATTGAAAACTTTATGTAAATGATAAGAAATGAGAATGCTTAGACTTGTGTTTGAAATTCAACCTTGTACGTAAATAATGTTTTATTCATGTAATGTACATATGCATGGATCTTGGATTTTCGGCAGATATAGAGTTACTAAATAAATGCCTTGTGCTAAGCTTTTATAGAAATTGCATGATATTATACACATTGGATTTTTTAAACTCTTATCTTTAAATAAATCCTTCAAATCATATTTGTGTATTATTTTTTGATAACAAGACGTTTTTGTTCATGTCCAGAAAATTTTACTGATCTTAGTGGTCTGTAAGTCAGTTTGGGTATGGTCTAAAGGTTGACATGCCTGGACTGTGAATCTGAGAGATTGTTTTCTATGCTCTGTTACCACAAAAATATGATGTCCTTTGCACTTTGGGGCCATGCATACACTACAGTACTAATGGTCATATCCAACTATTCAATTAGAGTAGCCCAAGAGTTGGCAGTAGGTAATTGTAAACTATCTGCCTTTCATCTAGTCTATCAGTTCAAATTAGGGGCAGTTAAGTGCAGATGTAGTAGCCCAAGAGTTGGCAGTGGATAATTGTAAACTATCTGCCTTTCCTCTAGTCTATCAGTTCAAATTAGGGGCAGTTAAGTGCAGTTGTAGTAGCCCAAGAGTTGGCAGTAGGTAATTGTAAACTATCTGCCTTTCTCT